GCGGTGCGAGGGGCGGACAGTGAGGGGAGAGGGAGGGTGGGCGGCGATGGCGCGGGAGGCTTCGCGGTGTCGCTCAGCTTGTTCTGGGGCTCCCGCACCCCCGGACCCCTCGCCTGGGGCTCCCAACCCCGGAGCCCAGTCCCAGCCCGAGCCCCCTTGCAGGGTCTGGATGCGGGGTCCTTTTGGCCCCTCGGGGTGGCGGAGAGGCCCCCCTCCCATGGCCTCCTCCGCTCAGTCCTCGGTGTCCACCCCTCCCAAAGGAAGGGGGTCGTGTCCAGTTCCAGGGTTGGGGTGAAGCCCCCAGAAAAGACTGGGGCCGAGCGGCGAGGACCTGGCCGGACCCGCCTCCCTCGGGCGGCCCTGCGTGCGGTGGTCGGGGCTTTCCAGGGGAAGACGCGTGGATGTGGGTTTTAATGCGAGCAATAAAAACAGCCCCGAGCTGCGGGTCTCGTTGGCTCGTTAGTCGCTGCGCGGTTCCCTGTAGTCGTGGGCACGGAAGCACCGCGCTCACCTGCGCTCCTGATAAAATTGGCGCCTCCAGGAATGGAGCTTTAATGACTAGATTTATGGAAAAGGAGTGGTTTAGTTGCAAACTGTGAATGAGTGTCATTCCCCTTGAGTTGGTAAAATACAGCATTTTACTTTTTAAAAGAAAGATTGCATTGTTTGGTTTTATGCTAATTCATAGAACCCTATTTACTTTGTGGTGGAGTTTACCAGCCCAGGGGAGGAAACACGGGGTTCCCTTGCAGTGTGTCTGGGTTAAAAGCCGCTATCCCGTCTTTGTAGAATTTGCTGGATCAACAAGGGAAAGGTTGGTTGTTTATAGAATATCTCCCTGATCCTGCCTGACACTGAATGGGCCAGTGTTTTCTGTGCATATCTTCTTCAAAATAAACATTTTTGCGGGATATGATGTTAATGTAGAAAATGCCGTAGAGCATATAATGCAATTGAGAGAAAAGTTATTTAAAAATAAGTTGTCACCATTACCCAGTTTAAGATTACCCCTAACTCTCCCTCCCTCTAAAATGGAATCTCTCTTCTGGCTTACAGAAGTAATTCCCTTGTTTTTCTTTGTTTTCTTACCATCCACACGTGTTCCTGCAACACAGTGTTACTTGGCTGAGCAGTTGCTGCTAGAGTAACACTGTGTCTGTCCCCTGTGGGTTTTGTGGTTCAGCATCGTCTGTCACATCTCCACTCATTCTAGGGCTAAGTTTATGCCTGAATAGTGTGTCATTTGTCTGTTGTCGGCTGCTGGACGTCGGAGCTGGCGGGGTCGGGGCCCTTGGGAGTGGTGTACACACTGTTGTACGGGGGGGGTCAGGAGTGCAGCTCTGAGAGTTTTTAATGCGATTACAGGTAACCAGTGTCATGGTTATGTTATTTACGGACACATGCGAGAAAGGGTTTTCAGCAGTTAGTTGATTCAAGGCTTTAGCTGAGTTGAGATAAAGTTGAAAGAACTTTAATGGAAATTAATTTTCTGGAAGATGGTTGGAGGATGTGAGGTTTAACTTTTCCTTGAATTGTCTTTATCACGTGGCAGTATTTTTCACTATGTTACGGAACTACTTTGGCCAGTTTTCCTGCAAACCATCTAACTTTGATTACTTTCTGAAAGTGCAGCAGTGCCAACCTCAGAGCATGGAGGTGGGGGAGCACCACGGCCTGTGAGAGGGCCCTGCGGTTCCAGGTCGGAGAAAAGATCCAGGGGTTCACGGTCGGCCAGGTACGCCCAGGTGTGCTCTCCCCCTGGGGGGGGGTCCCCTCCTGGTCCCCAGACCCTGGCCCGTCTGTCTCACGGCGGGTGCTCAGAAGCAGAGGAGTTTGCAAATGAAAGGATTTCCTGACTCTTAAGGGAGTATAGATCCCTAACCCCTTTCCCGACCGCTGGACCCTGACATCTTTTCAGATCTTGGAAAGTAAATCAAACACATTTTTGTTTCTGCATCAGACACAACTGTTCACACTGAGTGATAATTCAGACTGAATGCCCCACACCTGTTCAGGTCACGTTTTACCAGCAGCCAAGTTTGCGCCAAACTTAGGCAAAAACTTTCTGCATTTGAGCCATTGGGTTTCAGAATTACAGAGAAGAGACTGTGGGCCATGTGGGCCAGTAGTTACGTAAGTTTATGTTAAAATGGATTTCATTTGATTGTTGTTTTGTTGTGATTAAACTTTCACATTGTTTTCCTTTAATGCAATAATTGGAAACTACGTTTATCACATAGTTGGTGGTTGTGCTCGCACTGTGCTTCACCCTCTAACAGGTGCACAGACGAGCAGCTCCCTGTCCAGGGGGACACGTGTGTGGCTGTGGCGCAGGAGCAGGAGGGACAGTGTGATGAAGGGCAGAGCACGAGGAAGATGGAGAGGGTGGGGAGGGGCCTGGACAGTCTGTCTCCAGGCAGCGTGGGCCAGGCGGTGCAGGGCAGGGCTGGTATTCAAGGCAGTCCCAGGACCTGTGAGTCCCTTACAGGGGTTCGTGGCCTGGGGGCTCTGATCCTTTCTAAGAAACAGTTATCAGGAAAGCTTTTACAAGGTGGATGGATGTTCACCTCATAGAGCACAGGGGTTAACTCTGAGGTCTGAACGACTTCAGAGCCGTCAGTTACATGAGCATCAGGAGGCCACTCAAACCCGTTTTTGTGGCAGGGCCCTCAGAGCAGGCTCAGGACACCGGAGTTCTGTCTCTGCCTTGCCAGTAAGTGGCGTCAGCGAGGACGGGTCCTTTCACAGCTGTGTGGTTGTCATGGTGATGTAGGGCTGTGGCTGAAGGAGAGGGACCTGGCGGAGCTGCTTCAGTACCAAGGACAGTGGGAGTTCTGTGAGGAGCGCTCATGGAAACACAGACGCACACATGCACAGCCTCCTCCAGCGGGCGAGGATGGGTTTGCTTTTGCGTGGAGTGGTTTGCGCCCCGCTGGACCCTCCCTCTAGGAACGGGTAACTGGCGTTAGCCCAGCTCACCACCGGGAGCTGAGACTAGAGGAAGCAGAATTTAGCGTCAGGAGCATCCTTCAGCCGCCCAGACTCAGGTCTGTCCCAGCGTTTACCTCCCGGCGGGGCCGTTCTGAGGGTCCCAGAGAGGAGCGCATGGCAGACGCCGCAGACATTCTGGGCTGCAGTCTGTTCTCCTTGGGGCAGCCTGGGCGACGGAAGGGGTCTGAGTGCAGGCTTCGGTCTGGGCAGGCTGTCTCACTGCCTGAGGCTCAGAATTTCATCTGTGAGTGGGGTGCGAGGGCCTTCCTCCCGGGGTTACCTGCCGCGTGTTTCGGAAGTGCTCAGCAGACAGCAAGCATGTGGGAGGGAAGGCGTGTGTTGTCATCAGCCCGGGTCTGCGAGGCTCAGGTCGGGACGGGGGCTCCTGCCGTGCCCTCCGGGCCAGGCCTTGCGGGGTGCTCGGCGTGGGGCCCTGGCGCCTCTGCGGTTGAGCTCCGCTCTTCTTGTTTTCCTTGTTGGTTCAGGTCACGTCTGTCCCCGAGCTGTGCCTGACTGCCGTGAAGCTCAGCCATGACGGCACGGGAGCGCGGTACTTGCACCTGGCCAGGGAGGACAGGAACAACCTGTTCAGGTGTGTGGGGTGCCCTCCGGCCCCCTTCTGAGAGCTCTGCTTCGAGCGTCTCCCGCACCTATGCTAGTTTAAGATACCAGCCCTGACAGTATCCAGGAAGCACGAGGGCAGGGTAGAGGAGTTCACACCCTCGGCTCCCTGCAGGCCCGGGGCTGTGTGCGTGCACAGTCCTGAGAGGCGGGGAGGCTGCCGTGGCCTGTCCCGATGGTCCGAGTGATCGCGTGCCCTGGGCTCTGTCGGTTCTCCGCAGCGTGCAGTTCCGCACCACCCCCCTGGACAGCAGCGGCGTGCCCCACGTCCTGGAGCACACGGTCCTGTGCGGCTCGCAGAAGTACCCCTGCAGGGATCCTTTCTTCAAGATGCTGAACAGGTCGCTGTCCACGTTCATGAACGCCTTCACGGGTGAGACGCCGGCCCGGCCCAGAGCCGCCTTCCCTCCGCCGTGAGGCCCAGGGCACACCGTTCTCTGTCGGGCTGGGGACGTTGGAAGTGTCATCCCTTTGGAATGGGTTGGGGCTGATTGTAAAAACTGGAGTTTGAGGGAAAAGGCGACAGCCGTTTTCTCTGGGGAGTGTGGCTGCGGGGCTCGGCCTCTGGAGCTGGCGCTGGGCTCCGGGCTCTGGGCTGTAGGACACAGGGCAGTGGTGGCTGGGCCGGCGGGGCTCAGCCACCTGTTCCGAGCAAGTGCGGGGGGCGCTCTGCGGGCCAGGCCGGCCTTCCGGGCCTG